CAAAATTTAGTTTTTGAAAAACGTCTGCAAAGATTTTAAAACCTGTAATTCCAATAATTACAGGTTTTTTTTCTTACGAATATTCGGATTATTGTACTATAAATAATTCGCAAAAAGAACTACGCCTTCTCTTTCTGATTAAAAATTCATCTGAAAACACCATGTAAATTGATGAGTCTGATATAAGTACATTTATACCAATTCCTCTAATTTCACTTAAAAATTAAAAAAAAGATTATATTTCAATTAATTATATGTATATTTGCAAAATAATCAGGCTTCTGCCAATGCTTCTTCTGAAATTTTTGAGTTTACTCTTCTATTCAGTGTTTGCTTTTTCAGCCGCTAATTTTTGTAGTCAATATAACAGGTGCAGTACCTTTACATCTTGATCATTTCAAGATTCTAAAAATTACCCACATCATTTTTTGTTCACAAATCGATTAATTATTGTCTTGATGCTATTCATCATCACAGTAATGGCAACAGCCAAAAATAATTTATCAGTCAATACAATAATTTTATAATACAATACAATGCAACAAGGAACAGTAAAATTCTTTAACGATGCCAAAGGATTTGGTTTTATTTCACCTTCAAATGGTGGTCAGGATGTTTTCGTACATATGTCAGGTTTAGTAGATACTATTCGTGAAAACGATGTCGTTACATTCGATCTACAAAACGGGAATAAAGGCGTTAACGCAGTTAACGTAAAAATAGCTTAAATTAAGACAAGAGCTTAAACAGCTTTTTTCTCAATATAAATAATTAGCAGAGGACTATACATGTTCTCTGCTATTTTTTTACAATAAGATTAAGTACTTGTAATTTTTATAAAAGCGTTTTTACAGGTTCTTCGTCCCTTTTCTCAGTTATTTAGATAGAATTCCATGGCACATTTTTCAAAAAATCAAATGTGCTATGAAGTCCAAACCAACACCCTCATTTACAAACAAAAAAACCTTAGAATATGTTATTCTAAGGTTTTTTCAGCGGAGAGAGAGGGATTCGAACCTCTCTTGTAGATGCTTTATTTATGCTATCTCTATTCCATGAATCTAAAAGTGCCATGATATTGCCACAATTTTTATATTACAGATCCAGATAAAAAAAAATATTATTTCTGCAAAATTCTTACAAATTGAACCAAAGAACGCTTTAATTTCTTTTTGTAAATTTACTAATATTAACCTAAACTTTTAAAAAAAATTCCGTCAGAATCCTAGTCTGGGTTTGTTAACGATGGAGATAAAGATTTTACACAACTGTCGCAACACCATTTAATATCCCCACCAGCAAGCATTTGCGCATCTGATCTCGTAAGGCCACATTGTGATATTGTCCAACCTGCAGTATGCCAGCAACAAGTGCCACCACCTAAGATATTTTTTAATTGTGATCTTGTAAGTACAGGATGTGTACCTGATTGTAGTGTTCTAAATTTTTTCATGATTGATCAATTTTGTTTTTATTACCATTATTTTTTAATCATTTTTATATTTTTAGACTCCTTCCCTTCTAACACAATAAAATAGACCCCTGCCCGCAAATCAGAAACATCATATTTTTCCTGCGGAGAATCAAATGTTTTTATAGTTCTTCCACCAGCATCGAGTATAATAACTTTTTTAGGATTAGAAGTAGTAGAAATTATAAATCTATCAGAAACAGGATTTGGATATATGCCAGACTCTTTTTTACTGGTTTCGCTAATTCCAAGAGTAGTTGTAACATTCACCATATAATCTTCGTATTCACCATAATCAGTTAAATCATTAATACATGGATCTGTGGAAGCAGGGTTATCAGCTCCAGTTGCACAACAAAGAATCCTCATTCTATAAGTACCTGCTGCAGTTGCTGCAGGAATCAAAACTGATTTAGTTACTGTCACACCAGATCCACCGTTTCCAATTTGTCCAATAAAT